TTCACACTTGAATTAATACTACCCATATTTGAAAAAGGCATAATAGTATAGTCTTTTATCACAAACTCAACCTAACTCAACCCAACATAATATTTGTTTTATATTTATTTATATATTTATTAAATATTATCTACAATAATTTTTGTGTTATTGTTTTAGAGTTGATATGATAAAATAAAAGATATGATAAAATTGATAAGTTACGGTTAAGAAAAAAGAGTGATAAGATAAAAATTGCAATTATGTTACAAAATATATCAAGAGTGGTCTCTATTATAGAGAATGAAAAATATTTTTTTATTTATTTTTTTCATATAAATTAATATCAATAATTTGAGTTATAATTATCTTATTATAGAAAAATTTTATAGACCAATAAGAATGGGACACTTGCCCCATTTCACTCACCTCATTTCTCTCTCCCTCTTTGTGGCTATGTTGCGATCTAGGGTCACAATTTGACCTGAGTCGCAGATTTTGATATTTTTTTTTAGTTGGTGACCTAATAAAGATAGTATAATATTTATTTTGTTTTTATTTATTTATTTAATAAATATTATCTACAATACATTGTTTATTATTGTTTTATCTACAACCTAACCCAACATAATAATTTTAATTGTGTTCCAAAACATATCAAGAGTGGTCTCTATTTATAGAGTATGAAAAAAATATGAATTTTGGTATTTTTTATTTTATTTTTTAAAATAAAATAATTTGAGTTATACTTATATTATCATATAAAATTTATAGTGGACCAATGAAAATAGGACAAGTGTCCCATTCCTAATGTATGAAAGTTAGATAATATGGAATCTCCAAAAAATCTTCATGTAATCCTTTTATTTAGATTTTTGAATTTATTTATTTTTTCAAAATTTTCAAAATTGGTTGGATGACGCTCAAATTTTAATTTTAGCCAAAAATCTTTCTCATTTTATTCACTTTGGACGGGAATTGACTTCTTTTTTTACTGATTTTTTTTTCATCTTTTTTCAAATAAATATCATTCCCTCTTTATATATTAATAGATGTTAGAGCACGGGCAGCATTGTGTTATAAATTTAATATACAAATAAATTAATCAAGACTTACCCATCGTTTTAAAATTAAACCGTGTTGGACACAGTCCGACCGCATAGACCGAGAACCAGTTTATAATCAGTTTAGCTCACTTGAATAAAATATTTGCTATTGAATCGTCAACACCAGACGGTTGAACTGGTAGGATCGATATGATTTTTTAAATAAATTTTGTTATATTTAAAATTATTTTAAATAAAATTAAATAAAATAGAGCTTTATAAATTGTTTATCAATTAATTTAAACATTTGAATTTTCAAATTGGTTAGATATTTAAGTAACACGTTTTATTCAATATATTAAAGCGTATTTTTAAATAAAAAAAATAAATTTTATAATTTTATAAATTAAATTGTATGATTGAATTGTATGGTTATATTAAAGCGTATTTATAAATTAAATTGTATGATTTTAAAATTAAAAAAAATAAATTAATAAAACTACTATTTATAGATTGTATTAAATGCTGACCTATTTTTTTTGCTAATAATTTTAGTAAATAGATTAGCTTTTCATATAAGTATAGACTAGTACGTAGCCCCGTGCGATGCACGGGTAATTATATTAAATAATAATTATAAATAGGTCTCGAATTCGAGTGGTGGAAAACCATTATCCTATTTTAAAAGAGCAAAAAAAAAAATATAAATTAAAGATGTGGTGTTAACATGTGATATAATTTACCGTCGTATATCAGTTTAATAATTATAAATAGGTCCCGAGTTCGAGTGGTGGGGTTAACATATGATATAATTGACCGTCGTATATCAGTTTATTATCAACAATATAAAATTAACTTGTATAAGAGAACATAGAGTTTTATAAATTGTTACCGTTAAAAAAAATTGTACGCATAACAATTTCACGCTTTATGCAGATTTATTAATTTTACAAATACAAATCGAGATTAATTTAAAATGTAACAAATAAAATGAAATTTTATATATATGTTATATTAATTCAAAAATTGAAGACAATATTAAAATCTGCATTTTTTCTATTAACTTTTTATTATGTGCATTTAATATTTTTGGAGGAGAAATATGTGATAAATCTTATTCTCGTTAAAAAAATTATGTTACATAATTTTGTTAAAAAAATATGTTAGAGTAGATACTAAGAGATGAGATTTTTTAAATTTACCGAGCGATGGTATTCTGTAAGATTACCATGATATTTTTTAGGCTGGTATACATTAATGGGGTTTTTGTACAATCTTTAATGTGTATGGAACCAAAAGCCGATATTTATGCGATGAGATTCTGTAAAATTACCTTGAGATTTTTTAGGCGGGTATACGCTAATGAACTTTTTTTGTACGATCTTTAATGGTGTATGGAACAAAAGTCAATATTTTAGGCTTTTCATGATAGAAACTTATAAATATGATGAAGATATTATAAATATGATCAAGAGAATGTATGAC